ATTTCTCTTTCTCAGCCAAATTTTTTTTGACTTCCTCATTTTTCTTTCATTTGTCTATACTTCATCCATCCCATTTTTTCTATTATCTTCCTTCTTGCCTTCTAATATTCTAGTTTCTCCTCTCTCTCTCTTTCTCTCTCTCTCTCAGTTTTTCTCGTACAACTTCAACAACAAATAAGTCTCTAGAGTGAAGCCTTGAATGTTGAATCATCTTTTTATCTTTCTTTCATGCTTTTTAGTTTCCACACTAAAGTGCTTCTTCGTTTCATTTTTTAGCATATTCAGGAGTTCTCTCATAGCAAGGATTGTTTAGCATTTCTTTCTCTATTTTTCCTTTTCCCATCCCTTCTTTTCTTGGTAAACCTTCTTCTCCTTTCCCACAGTTTATATATTTTTAGGAGGCAAAAAGTTTAAATTGGATAACCCATTCCAACCGGAGGTTACTTGGTTAAACCGGTTTGTGACCGGTTCATTTCATCTCTGGTCCAACAAACAAACCTGGAGCGGTTTATCAGTTTTTCGATTGAACAGGTTGATCCGAGCTGGTTTTTTTTTCTTTTATTATTCTTCATAAAAGAGCAAAGTAAAGAATAATACGTGTTTGTTTACATTTGTATGCAGTTGTCCAATGTCTTTTGCATAGAAGTTCCCTTTAGACAACCGTAGCACTACGCAAGGACTAACTTGATTGTTTGTGGCTTGTATTACATCTTTCTTCTCTCTTTGATATATTAAGACCGAAATAACAATTACTCTGGGGCTCAAAGAAAGAAGGGAATACTTTCATTTTCTTCCTCTTTAAGGAAATGACTGCATAAAAGAAACATAAATAAAAGGAAAGAACAATAGCATAAAAGAATCTGCTATATGTTCCAGCTAAGTGACAGTAAATTTATATTAGTTGGTAAATTTATATTAGTTGGATTTGTATTACTCAGATGTTGGTTCGATCGGTGACCTCTTAAATGGTCCTTTGTTTAATTTTTTCAAAATATTAAAGAGTTAGACTAACTTTTTTGATTCGTTTACATTTGTCTCTCATTCTATTTAGTCTTTCTTATCTTGTGTTATTTATATTTACATTCAATCTTGCTTTATATGTTCCAGCAACAGTCAATCATTCTCTCCAACCTGCCTTTACTGTTTAAGCTTCTCAAATATCTTCAAGTTCATCTATCTGTCAAACAGGTATATATTCACTTGAAGATTCTTTGCTATGTTTTTTTTTTAATATTGTTTGTTTCAAAATAATACTCCTCCGGTCCTTAATATAGGACCCAATTATTGAGTTGATTTTGGTCCTAAATATAAGACCCATTTATCATATTTATCAATTTTCTCTAAATTACCCCTATGGATACTTCTTCAACCATAATCAAGTACAAGAGGAAGATTGGGTATTAAGAAAGATAATTATGGTATTTTAGAAAAAATGTGTCACATTTCTTATAATTAACTAACTTACCTAACTTCCTTAATCTAATCAAATTAGTTAAATGGGTCTTATATTAAGGACCGGAGGAGTATCATCTAGATATACTAGTATATCGAATTGTTGTTTGTTTCTTTATTCTTGCATTTGCGCGTCAGAGTTTGAACCTGGGAATAATTTATACTAATGGAATCTAATTATCTAAACTTTCAGAATATGAAAGAAGTTTTAGCCAAAAAAAGAAAGAAGAATATTATTATTATTATCAGGCCAAAAAGATAGTACGGTATTAAACACTGAATTTGTTAGATGCTTTTAATATTATACTGAATTTATGTTACTAAACGTGCTTTTCATTTAAATAAATTATTTTAATTTAACTCATCAAAATATTGAATAATTTTATTTTCGGTTTTAAATTATTCATCCAAACCTCATTAGGATATTTGAGGTAAGGAACCAGAATCACAATAATCCATATAGTGGAACTCCAATTTTTATTTATTTCTTTTTTTTTAATATTATTTTTTAATTATTTGCCATGAATATAATAAGGTAATAGCATCTCAATCACCAAATGAATTGATAACTTTGTAAAAGAGTAAAGAATAATTTATTTTTATGTTGTTAGCTTCAATTTTTTTTAATCCAAAGACTCAATTGCTTCATATATGTTAATAAGTTATGCTTTATAACTTGCTTCGTCACAAAAGATTACAGATTTCGTTCTTTCTTTTGAATCTCAGTATAAATTTACAATAATGAATATATGTAGAAATCGAACTCTTCAAAATTTATCATAGGTCTTATTAAATCGCAATTTGTTTCTTTCTTGAAAGTGGTATACGAGGATTATTTCCATTTAAATGGTTTCTATAATTATGCGTATAATAATCAACCTCCCATCTATTTAATCTAAATTACAGAGACTTCTCTTTTTTTTTGAAAACCTATATGGACCTTTATTAAAATCAAAATATATGTTGCACAAATCTCTTTTCTGGTTTTGAGATTCAACTTCTATCTACCTAACCATTAGTTGACTGTTAGGGTTAAACTGTTATTTTAATCAAAATACCTCTCCTTAATGCAAATATTACTTAATAATTATCATTTAATCACATATGATATATCTCTATTTGAAATTAAAAAAATAATTTTAATACATACTTTAATATTTTGCGTTATACTATTAAATCAATTACCATATTATAAATTTAATTAATTTTAAATACAATTTTTAGATTACAATAAATTTAAATGTTTAATCTCGTCTATCAGATAAAACTGGCTTATGATGCAATTTCTTAAATATATATTAGCTGAAAATGCTTTGCAATTGTATATATGTATTTTTAATTAAACTATAAAGTTATATCTTAATTTAGTAAATTTAGTAAAAATATTAAATAGATCATTAATAAACATCAATATCAAAAGATAAACTAGAGATTTAATAGAACAAGGGTACAGTGGGGACAGGTTTTTTCTAATATGATTTTTAATTAAAAGTATACTCAAAGAATCTTTTTAGAATATTCTTTAATAGTATTAATGGTTTGGATTAAAATATATGTTATCAAAATAGAGAGATCCGTGTAATTAAGACAGAATAAAAAGATAGTCAGAATATTTTAGTGATTTTATATTCATAATAAGAGCAGTATTGCATTTTCTCTCTCACATGATAAGAGTGAGAATTCTCTGTCTGTTACATAAATATCATTCATTACAAAAAAAAATGTTTAATTTGGAAATATGAGGACAAATAAATTTAAAATATGGCGTTATTAAATGTTGACGTGATCTATTTTTTTTATTTGTCTTTGGAGTCTATGATTAAAACATTTGTGAGTATTCTTTTTATTATGATGAAAAATGAATAATTTGAATTTTGTGATGATTATGGACTAAATTTTATATGACGTATTGTGAAGTTTTTGGGAAGATTGACTAAAAATAAAAATATGAGTTTTTTCCCCCTCCGTCTGAATTCCACAAGAAAAGATTTTGGTATTAACTTTGTATACTTGCAATACTTATTTTCAATCAAAAATGGATATTTGTGTTTTTTTTAATCTATGATTCACCCATTTTGTTATTAATACTTTTACATTTAAAAAAATTTTAAATTCAATTATTCTAATTTATTGGAAGCAAGTAGTTTAAGTATACAAGACAGGGTTAAATATCCAAGTTTCCTCCCTTCCAAACACATTAGTATCATTGTTAATACGGGACAATATTTTAAGCTTAATAACTATAACCAAATTCCTAAATAAGATTTGGAAATATATAACAAAACAGAGTTTGTGAATTAGATTAATATAAAAGTACAATAATATTTAATTTGGACCGTCCTTTGCAAGTAATTGTTTGATATATTGGTATTTGAATTCTGAAATGAAGTTCATAGTAATAAGATAATACGCAGTTGATGGATCATAGTACTTATCGAAATGTTGAATATTTTCATCAGAAAGAAAACAGGAATCAGGAATACTATCATCAACCTGAAAACTGTTTCGATAAATACCATTTTGTGAGTGCATATGAGCTTTTTTCCCCTTCTTTTGGTTCTTCAATAATTATACAATAATGAATTTCCATATTTTAAACTCGTTGAAAATTTATATATATATATATATGTTTGTACTAATTTCGGCGAACTGTTATTTGCTATTTTTGTGTATTTAGGCATCTCTTAATTTGATTTAAGAGTCACTAACTCATCTAGAAGAACTCCTTTACTTTTTTTATTTTTTTCTTTTTACTTGCCATGATTATAGTAACGGGTAACTTAATCAGAAAACGAAATTCGTACATTGCTAAAGAACTCAAGTATACTTTTTTTACCTTTTTAACTTTTTTTCTTTTGGGTGTATCCAAAGGCATGGTTCCAGATACTTTATGCTATGCTTTAGATGCATGTGTCTATTATGTGTCTTTGTCACTTCAGATGTCTTTTGCGGGTCATAAATAATGCTATATATAACTTGCTTCCTCGTAAAAGATTTGTCAGTTTTCATAAGAGGGGAGATGACATATCTCATAAGACTAATGTTCTTGGATATTGCCTCATGTATTATATTTGACTATCATTTGAACTCGAAATTCATATTCTAAAATAATAAATAATTTCATTATAAACTCAAGTCGATCCTCGGCTTCTTATTAGACTCTTTTTAATATTGTTCTATTTAAAAATTTTACAACTTGTTAATTTAAATAAATAAAATTTATTGATATGATTATTTAAGCTTTAGTTTTCCTATTAAAACGAAATGTAGTGCATTGTATTCCAGTGCTTACATTTACAAAAGATCACAAGAAATGACGTTGTTATTGAAATAGTCGAGCTTTATATTATGATTTAATAAGTGTGGTGTCCAAGCATTTTATACATATATATATATATATATATTTTAAGTTTGGTTATATGAATATATTACTAATTAGTCATGCCATAAAGAACAGATCAAAATTGAGCTTGGTTGTACGTTACATGCTTAGTCCATTGACTTGTGTTAGGGATGATTGCTTACTACATGAATTATGATTGCAGTAAATGGCAGAGATTGTGATCTCAATCGTGTCAAAGGTTGCAGAATACTTAGTGGCTCCGATTTCACATGGAGCTGCGTATTTTTTCTGCTTTAAGCAGCTTAATGAAGACTTCAAGAAAGCAAAACAAGAGCTAGAGGTGAAACTAGAAGATGTGAGAAAGCGTACGGAAGAAGCAGAACGAAAAACTGAAGAAATAATGCCATCCGTGAAGAAGTGGTTGGATGATGTGAATGCTATCCTAGGAGAGGTACAAAAGCTGCAACAAGAGCTTGATCGAGGACGAAACAATTGTTTCAATGTGTCTGTTAGATACTCATTATCCAAACAAATAAAAAATAAGGCTAAACAGATGATGGACCTCAAACAAAATTCTGACTTTCAGCCATTTTCCCAGGTGATCCAACTTCCTGGAATTACCTACTTCTCTTCCAAAGAGTTTTGGATTTCAACTCAAGGAAATCAACTTGTAATCATCTTTTGGAGGCAATTAAAGATGGCACGAACAAGATGGTGGGATTATATGGTATGGCAGGATCAGGCAAGACGACTTTGGCGAAGGAAGTAGGCAAGAAAGTAGATGAGCTAAAGCATTTTGACAAGGTCATCATGGCAGTCGTTTCAAAACCCCCAAATGTTTTGAACATTCAGCAGGAAATAGCAGGGCAAATAGGCTTACAACTTCAAGAGCCAACTCAACTTACTAAAGCACAAAGGCTATCAGAAGGATTGAAAAATAAGAAGATTCTTATAATCCTGGATGATGTGTGGAGCAAACTAAGGCTTGAAGATGTTGGAATTCCATTAAATGAAGGTTGTTGTGTATTGTTGACCACTCGCCTCCATGATGTATGTGTTTCTATGGATTGTGAAAGTATTATTAAATTGCCTCTCTTAACAGAGGAAGAGTCATGGGCATTGTTCAAGATGTGCGTTAAAACAGCCAATGTGTCAATGAATGAGTTTGATAGCATTGGAAGGCAAATTGTTGATGAGTGTAAAGGTTTGCCTATTGCAATAGTGACAGTCGGAAGCACATTAAAAGGAAAGAGTATTCAAGCGTGGAAGTCAACACTAAGGAGGCTACAACGTCCCCTACCATTGGATATTGAAGATGATTTGAAGACCCCTTATGCATGTGTTGAATTAAGTTATGATAATTTGCCGAGTGCACTAGCCAAGTCGCTCTTCATATTGTGTTCTATGTTTCCTGAGGATCATGAAATCCATATAGAGGATTTAATTCGTTTTGGCAACGGGACTCTAAAGCTTGGTGACGATATTCATACAATAGGGGAAGCAAGGAATGAGATTTTTGCAGCTATTGAGAAATTGTTAGATTCTTGTTTGTTAATGAATACCAATAAGCAGGAACGTGTAAAATTGCATGATGTTGTTCGAGATGTAGCCTTATGGATCACGAAGAAGCAACATCAAGAAGTTTTGGTAGATAGCCATTCAATTTCGAGCATGCTGGTAAGCAACGGCCACAAATTGAATGATGCGAAGGCACTCTCATTGTGGAATTTGGATAAGAATTTCAAGATCTTTAATAAATTGCATTGTCCATCACTGGAGATTTTGCTACTTCAGCCTGATGGGTTCATTGAAGATATTGGAGCAATAGAAACACTTAAAGTGTTGGCACTCATAACACATGGCTTTCAATGGAGATTTCAGCAGCAAACTTTTTGCTCTGTCCCACAATCAATTGTATTGTTAACGAATCTTCAAACCTTGTGTCTTAGAGGGAAACAATTGGGTGACATCTCTTTCTTGTGTGAACTCAAAGGATTGGAGATTCTTGATTTGCATGGTTCTCTATTTAATGAATTACCTGCTGAAATTGCAGACATGAAAATGCTGAAACTTTTGGATATATTTGGTTGTGAAATTGAGAAAAGCCCTTTAGAAGTAATTAGAAGATGTGAGCAGCTTGAAGAATTATACTTCCGGGAGAAGACATCTGTCATCCCTGAGAATTTCTCTCTTTCAAGGTTGAAGAGGTATGTCATCTATGATTCCACGTGCAGAATGATTGATGAATATATGGGTAACTCTTTCCAAGAATATTTAGATAGTTGTGATGAAGCATTAAGAGCTTTATGCATACAAGGCTTCAGAATCTTTGCTTTGACTTCGTCAATGAAGGATCTCATTTTTCGGGCAAACCACCTTTGGTTAGATAATTGTTCATGGAATCATAAAGATATAAATTTTAGGATAAAGCAACTCGTGGTATCATTCTGTCAGGAGAAAAGATTCATCATGGAGAACTCTGATATGGACACTCTTCAACCACAACAAATCTTCTCAGACTTGATAACTTTACGATTGTTTAAAATGAATAGTCTTGAACAGTTGTTTGAAGCTTCATCTATCAGCTACTCTCTCCCCATGTTACAAGAGCTGTCGATACAAAGTTGTCCTGAATTGAGAACTTGCATCTTCCCCCATGCCATGGTTACGAGCTTGCCAAAGCTGAGGAGACTTGTGATTGAGGGTTGCGGCAAAGTGAAATGGTTATTCTCTTATTCTTTGGCTTCTCATTGTCCGTCCTTGGAGGAGATAATTATAGCCAATTGCTTTGAGCTTGAGAGGCTCATTGATGAAGAAGCTGCACTTGGGGATCCATTACTTCATGACATGCAATACTCTCATCCACATGTAAGTATTATTCACGAAATCCTTCTTGAATCATTGCATATTAGAAATAATAATCCGTGTTCGTGCATTTGCTGAAAAAAGTTTATCTTTTCATTTAATTTTTAAACTGCATTTGTTGGTTTTCTTTTGATAGATGAATTTGATATCCTTTTCTCAACTTACGTTCAAATCAATGCCTCTGTTTTATCTCCCTCGTTATTTTTGCTTCTTTGTCAAGGAAACGTGCTATACAATTTCTAACTCCATCCATATATTGTGAAAAGTACATACAGGCTGGGGAAAAAAACCAGAATTCATTCAACTGCTAATAATTTCACACATTTTTAGGTGATTCTTTTTACTTTTTTTTTGTGACAATTCTTTTTACTTTTAGTTCACTCTACCATACTATTTATTTAAAAAAAAATTGAAGGTGGCCATTTTTACATTTTCTTTTAATTTGAAAAAATTGTGCTTATTACCGAATAATATAAACAAGTATAAAAAAATTCTCAATAACAAACAATAGTAATATTATCTTTCTTTTTGTTTACTTGGCCTCTATTTTTTTTTTTTGTAATTTAAAAATAGCCTTGTTTACAATCGTATAATGTATTTATATAATTGTTAAAAACTGCGTTCTTAATAAGAGGCATAGTCATTTTATTTTTGACTCGAGTTCACTGTAACTGTGTAAAATTCTTATTATGAAATTTTTTGAGCTGCTATAGATAAAAACTACTTTTTTGAGTTTTCTTTATCTTTAAGATAATAAAATATTATTGCTTTTCAAGCTTTGTATTTTTCTAATTAATTTTTTAAAAAAAATTATTACTTTTACCTTGCCAAATCCGACACTTTATTTTTTTTTTTATATTTTGTATCTTGGTCAAGGAAATGACTTTTTGATATTGTTTTCGTCATCAGGTAACTGAAATGTTTTTTCCTTTGTATTTTTCTGCCATGCTTTTCAATGGATGTTGGGGGGGGAAAAACTTTTTAACTGTGCCTCTTTTTGTCTTGAAAAAATTGTAGGTTTACATTTCAATTTTTGGCCAAATAAGTTGTGTTGATCATGAAATATACAATATGTCTACTTATCTATCGTTCATTAAATGTCATATAGTTATCATAAAACATGTTGAATATAATCAAGTAGCGAACATATGTGTGTGTGTGTGTGTGTGTGTGTGTGTGTGTGTGTGTGTGATAGGGATAAAGTGCAAATTTGATCGGTATATGGCTAGAAGCCATTGGTGTCCAGAAGCTTCTGAAATCTCAATCTCACCCCAAACAAAAACATAAGAATATTACCCTGAATGTTATCCCAATTAATTTTGACAGTTAATTTGACCAGATTGCTTATGTGGGGTGCCATATGGTATGACAACTCATCGTCCCTCTCTTCCTCTCTTCCACATCATGGGATAAGCTTGCGTTTTGATAAGGGGAGGTTTGGAATTGGGGTTGTGATACTTGAGGCGGTGGGAGTTGTTTCGAGTAGCAAAGGAGGAGAGTACTCAGGGTCTCAAATAGATCTGACGAGCATGTTGTGGGTGGGGGGGGGGGAGAGGGAGATGATAATGGTGCCAATATAGATGATGAAGATGATGAGATGTTTTCACTCAAAAAAAAAAAAACAGGATGATGAGATGGAGGGTGAAGTGGAAGAGAGGAAAGACTGATGACATGGCATGCCACATAAGCAATCTGGTCAAACTAACTGTCAAAATTAACTGGAATAATGGTTAGGCCAACATTGTTACGTTTTTGTAATTTTGAGGGTGATATTGAGACTTAAAAAACTTTCAATACCCATACCTCCTAACCATATACTTCAAGGACAAATTTGTACCTTATTTCTTTGTATTTGTTACTTACACATTTCTAGGTATAAGTATTGACGTAATCATGATGAATGAATCCAATCACAAGTTGTAAAATATAGTTTTTGTAAATTAAAAATACGTGAAGTCAATTTAGTTCAATTTTAGAATGAAGTTGAAGGCGTTGTTTGTTGTAAAAGAAAAAATATTCATCAAGTTCTAAATATAAGGCCCATTAGAACCGAAGGAGTAGTTTTAACTATATTAATATCTTATTATTATTAAATTTTCTTAGCTCTTTATCTATGCTCCACGATGAAAATATTGAATTTTCCTTATTTTCATGATAATAAAATATTACTGCTTTTTAAGGGTTTGCGTTTGCTTATTAATTTATTTTGTCAAATAATGACTTCTATTTCTCAGTTGCAACATTTTATATTTCTTATTTTGTATTTTGGTCTACGAAATGACTTTTTCTTTTTCTTTTTTTATTTGGAATGACCTTTTCATATTGTTTTTGCCGTTAGGTATTTATTGTGGGAAGCGCTTGTTCAAAGTTTAATTATTTTATTTACAAATATATTAGTGTTGATGCAATATCTAAAAATTATACATACTTTTAGAGAAATAGTTTTTCCTTTGAATTCTTTTCACCAATCTTTTCTTTGGATGTGAACAAAATACCTTTTTATTGTGGCCCTTTTTTATAATATGTATTTATATAATTATTAAAAAAGAATATTCTTAGTAAGAGATGATAGTCATTTTATTCTTGACTTGAGTTCATTGTAACTATATAAGCCTCTCTTCTTATTATGAAATTTTCTGAGCTCTACATTGAGGCTACACGATAAAACTATTTTTTGGGTTTTCGTTATTTTCAAGATAAAATACTATTGCTTTTCAAGCTTTGTATTTTTCTTATTAATTCTTATTTTCAACTTACTACTTTTACTTTGCCAAAAGCAACACTTTATATATTTTTTTTATTTTGTACTTTCGTCAAGGAAATGTATTATATATTGTTTTTGGCATCACGTATTTATAATAAATTTGAGTTGTTGTATTATCCATGAATTACACATACTTTAACATAAATGATATCTTTTTTTAATCGTTTGGATTTTTCTGCCATGCTTTTCCATGGATGTGAGAAAATATATAATATGTCTATTTATACATGTCATTAATTAAATGTCATATAGAGGTTGAATATAATCATGTAGCAACAAGTATATTCCAATTTAAAAACACATGTTTTGAGATTATATATGGCATCACGATTTAAAAAAATGCGTGAAAGCAATTTATTTTAATTTCAGAATCATGATCAAGGTGTTGTTTGTTATTAAAAAAAAAATAATTTCTGTAAATTACAATTTCTATCACCATCTATATATTATTTGTGGAAAGGAATTGGATAGGCTAATATATTATAAAATAGTGTCATTTCATTTTTTATTTAAGGATTTTTAATTATATAACAATGTGCTTATCGTGAAGTTCTAAATCTTTGCATTTCATGGTCCAAAAAAAGAAAACCTTTGCATTTAGCATTTATGATACATACTAAAGATTAAAGGGATGATTAAAGACTGAGTAGGAATAATGAATAAAAGTCTAGGGTCCAAGTTTTATATTGAGTTAAAACTATGGGACCAAAAGAGTAATTTTGTAGATTTAATTACTAATTTTTTTTATAGTATTACAAGATATTATTTACAAACTGCATTTGCTATTTCTTTCCACGCATAATTTGATAAAAACTTAAATCTCTTTTGTTCATTTTATTTTTTGGGTCAAACAATTAATCTCATTTTCCCGAACAATACTTTATATTTTTTTTGTTTTGTATTTTCGTCAATGAATTAATTATTTAGGATTGGTTTATTTAAAATATGTTGAAGTTGATACAATATCTATGAATTACATACTACTTTTCTGGTCTTAAGTATAAGATCTATTTTGTAGTATAAATTACATTATAAAATAGGTTTTATATTTAGGACTGAATGGGTATATTTTAAGAGAAGTGTTTTGCTTTGCTGGCAAAAGAAGAAAAGAAATAGAAATATTTTTCTTAAATTTTCTTTTGACGTCTAAAAGGTTTTATATTTAGGTTTTATATTTTGTCAATAAAATAATTATTTAGGACACCACATTTTAAGATAAACGTTTTTCTTAAATTTTCTTTTGATGTTTAAAAAGATCTCTCTTACCGTTCCTCTTTTGTTGCTGTTAAAAATTTTATATTTTCATTTCAAGTGTTGGTAATAAAAAAAGTCCTGATTGTTACTATATAAATTTGCCTACTTGTTAGAAAGGATTATTTACTAACAATAGTTGGCAATAATTAATATATTATATAAGAAACTTGCTGGGTTTAATCCCCAATCTAGTTAGAGTAAAACGCAAGTTGTTATAATCAGTCCATTTCATAATTTTAATTTTAATACATTTACAGGGAAAGGAAACTGACAGTGCTTATGTGGGCGTTACAGCAAAAAGATTCAATCAGTTGCAAAATCAGCAATCCTTGATCCTTTTTCTCAGGTTGAAAAGTCTAAAAATTGAAAGAAGTGGAAAAAAGAAAGGTATATTGGAAATCCAAGTCGGAGGAAGAGTAGAAGATGATGAAGAATCTATTAAAGCCCAAGAACCTCTAAAGTTGGATTCAGAGTTGAGTGAATTAAAATTAGATGGTCTACCAGAATTGGAATATATTTGGAAGGGCCCCACCCAAATTGTGAGCCTCCATAGACTTGAAGATGTTTCCTTGCGGGACTGCCCAAAATTAAAAAGTATCTTCACTCTAGCTATTGTTGCAAGCCTTCCAGAGTTGAGAACACTTGAAGTATATTATTGCAAGGAATGGGAGGGAATATTTTGTGAAGAATCACTCAAAAACCTCTCTTCTTCTAATATTTGCTTCCCCAAACTTAAGCAGATTGACATATGGGGTTGCCACAAGGTGAGATGGTTGTTATCTTATTCTCTGGCATCTCATTGTCCTTCAATAGGGTATGTACGCATACACAGTTGCTCTGAATTTGAGGGGCTTATTGGTGAAGAAGCTGCACATGGGGATCCACTACTTCATGATATGCAAGATCATCCACAGGTAAGTCTCATCCGCAATGTCTCTCTGTTTTTTTTTTTTTACCAGCAAATCCGCAATGTCTCTCTTGAATCATTGCATATTAGAAATAATAATAATCCATATATATATATGTTGACGCATTTGCTAAAGTAGCCATGTTCAATTTACATCTCCCTTTTATTTGAAAATTTTTTGTTTGCAATCGTATAATATATATATTTGTATAATCATTAAACATAACTTCTACAGTGATTCTTTTATTTTTGACTTCACTTTATGATACCTGTATAAACCTCTTTTTATTATTAAATTTTCTTGGCTATATATTCAGGCTGCACGATAAAACTATTTTCTAAGCTTTCCTTATTTTCATAATAATAAATTTTTTTTTAAATAACAACTTTTATTTGTCAGATGCAGTAACATTTTACATTTCGTATTCTGCATTTTGGTCAAGTAAATGACTTTTTCATATTGCTTTTGCTATTAGGCATTTATTGTGGGAAGTGCTTATTCAAAGTTATTTTTATTCAAAAATAAATTAGTGTTGATGCATTATATAAAAACTACACATACTTTAAGAGAAATATTTTTCCCTTTCAAATTTTTTCGCCATGCTTTTCTTTTCTTTTTGATGTGAGAAAATATTTTTTGGTGGCTCTTTCTTTTTATGCTAAAAATTAAGTTAACATTAGTATTTTTGTTCAAATAATTCTTGTCGGTCAAAAATATTTAATATGTGTACTTCTTGTTAAAAAAGATATATATATTATTTATTAAATGTGATATAGTTGTTATAATAGAGAATTAACATAATCATGTAGTAAAAAGTATATACAACATTTGCTAGTCACACATTTTCCATGTTACTATGAAAATTGATTGAGTTTGGTAAAACGCGTATTGAGATCATGTTAACACAATTTTAAAAGTACATTCTTTTTATTTTGCCATTAAATGATCAATTCGGAAAATACTTATAATGGCCAGCATAATATAAATTAGTGTCTATAGAAGTTCTCACTGGAGATTTCAAACATTTTGATAAAATTTTTCTTTCGCTCACCTACCTCTTTTTTCATAGAATTTCTATTTAGCATTTACATTGTAATACTAAAGATTAAACTGCTCAAATTTTCTTTTTCTTTTTTCAGTACTACAAAATATTATTTACGAGCTGCATTTTTTAATTTATCTTTCCACATATGAATTTGATAAAAATTTTCATCTCTTTAGTTCATTTTAATTTTTTTGTCAAATAATTAATTTTGTTTTTCCAAACAACACTTTCTGATTTTTATTTTTTATTTCGTCAAGCAAATAATTATATGGAATTGTATTTCATTTAGAATAAGTTGGAGCTGATATAATATCTACAAATTATGTATGTATACACAATATTTGTTAAATTTTCTGTGGACGCTAAAAAGGTCTTTGTCAGTGGCCATCTTTTATTGCTATTAAAATTTGTATGCTTTCCTTTCAGCTTTTGTACGAAACTAACTAGCATGCTTTAATCTCTCAGCAACCTTTGATCCGAAATTGTTCTGAACTTGAGACGCTTGCTGAAGAAGCATATCTCAAACTGAAGTACTTACGGTTGGTGGCACTGCCGAAATTGAGAGAGATCTTCCCTCACGTGAGTGTTTTCTCTCACTATTTCTTTTTTTATTTGTGATTTTTTATGGATAAAATTGATAAATGTCTTTTAAATTATTTATCAAACATAACACTTTATATTTTTCGTTTTATAGCTTCGTCGGAGAAATAACTTCTTTGTTATTAGAGAAAGTACTTGTTCATGGTTGTTTTTGTTAAGAATGAATCAGTGGAAATATTTTCTCATTTTCTTTGGACGTGAGAAAATTCTTTTTGCAGGACCTATTTTCCTTTCCTCTTGTTTACTTTTTAAATTTATTTGAAAATTTGTGTTTACTATGAAACGATATATACGAGTAGCAAGACTATATTCTAATGAAAAGCAATAATCATTTCAAATTTTATTTAATATTTTGCTTCTATGAAGTAGTCTTCTCGTCATGAAATCAAGCTGGAAATTACTTGAAGTATTAGCAATGTTCCCATTAATGCTTGGTTGTGGAATCATTTTTTGTTTTTGTGAGCGGTTCTTTATCATGGAAAGTATGACTTGTCCAAGACTATTTGATTTGAAATAAATCAACGTCGATGCATATTTATACATCATACATTGTGTACGTGTGTGTGTGTCTATATATATTTCACATTGGACCATCAATAATATGTATAAGAAAAGTGTAACTTAATAAAATTCATCTTACTGAGCTTATCTTATTGTAGTTTTATAAATATGTGAAATGAATGGGGTTTAATTTCTAATGTTACAGTGCCATTAACTTTATGCGGTTCACGTATGTGTGTATAGTCCATATGTTGAATTTTCATCTAATCATTGAATATATTTACTTCACAGCAACATGAGAATGACACAGCGAGAGTGGTAAAGTCAGAATTGTGGTCGATATTCTTAGCTGATCTACCGGAATTAGAACATATTTGGAAAGGCCCCACACAAATTTTGAGCTTCCATAGACTTGAAGATATTACACTGTGGGAATGCCCAAGATTAAGAAATATATTCACTCTTGCTATTGTTACAAGCCTTCCAGAGCTGAGGAAACTTGATGTAAGACGATGCGATGAATGGGAGGGAATATTTTGTGAAGAGTCACTTAAGAATCTGTCTACTACTTCCACTGTTTGCTTCCCCAAACTTGAAATCATTGAAATAATTGATTGCCACAAAGTGAGAAGGGTGTTCTCATATTCTCTGGCATCTCATTGTCCTTCATTGAAGAAATTACATATATGGGATTGCTGTCAACTGGAGGGAGTTGTTGAAGCTTACGAAGGTGAAGTAGCTGCTCATAATCATCAAAGGCTGTTTCCTGAACTGAATTATTTGAAGCTCAGTAATTTGCCAAAGTTGAGAGAGATTTATGAAGGTTATGAATTCAACCTCCTTTTTGGTACTATAACAATAGAAGATTGTCCAAACATATCAAAAATCTCAAAAATCCCATTAGAAGACAAGCCCTCGTCATCAGGTTCGTGGCTACACTCTTTCTTTCAAACTATTATCATATTTAATCAATAAAATAATTTTGTGCATTACAATTTCTATCGTTATATTGAAAAAAAGTCTTTTATCACGAGAAAAAAATTCTATCTTAACGCCCACACACACATCCCTCAATTTTTTTTAATAAGAAATTGCAATCACTCCTAAGATTTTTTTTTTTCCGTGTTTATATAATGGTTGTCATATCAAAATCATAATAATATATTAAATAAGTGACATGTTATGATAATATTAGAAGTTGAATAATTTTATAGAACTGGAAAGTAAATAATTTTCAACATTTTCACATTTGTAACACATTATTTCTCATCATTGTAAACATAATTATCTGTAGTTTAATACACATTGTCCAAGGACAATTTCGATAATTGTGTAGAATAAATAAGTTTATTGGTTTTTATTTTCTCTATGTTCCATTTTGATTAGGCTGCTAATAAGGTTTTTTTTTTTGGTCAGCTGTGGAGATCAAATTAGAAAGTTAGATAATGAAGGGGTGATGTTAGCTTTGGATCTTCTAATTTGTCTCTTCATTTGCATTTGTGTTTTACTGTGTTGTGTGTTTGTAAAAATGTGTTGGATTTGTATTATGTTGAAAATGCACGAAAATTTAGATATAACTCTACTTTGAAGTTATGTAATTATATTCAATATTGTACACAAAATACAATAATTGTGTGGCGCTTGTGTGTGCTAATTATTTTGTTTCAAATATTGTATTAATCAATGATTTCTTATCTTATTCTTTATTTCAATCTTGCAATATAATTGTTATTATTTAAAAAAAATACAATCACAATTCTATATTCTTTTCTATGGAAAAAAATCATCCCAAAAAAGGTTTCTCAAATAAAAAGAAAAGGAAAATATATTTTTAAATTGTAGACGAATCTATTTTGAAGGTTCTGCACATGACCTCTCCACCCTTGTTTCATCTTTTAGAAGGATAAAGTCATGCTAATATTTATAAAGCATTTTAAATGAAACTTTAAAATCCAATACATCAATTTAACGACCGCAAATAATTGTAATTTTTTCAAGAGTTGGCTAAATTTTGTTTAAAAATTAAAACGATTTTTAAGAGAAAAATGTCATGTCATTAAAGGGATCATAAAATTTATGTAAATTTTATGAATAAAAATTCAATATTAATAAAATCAGATAAATTTAAAATATTTTTTATCAGAGATAAAAATTGAAAAACAAATAAGTTATCCAGTTATATAGTATATAACTGATATGTAATTTTAATATTTATATATTTAACTTTATATGATACTACCTCCGATCCTTAATATAAGACCCCATTTGACTTTTTGTTTGGTCCTGATTATAAGACCCCAATCTAATTTTTTCTCATATTTATGTATTTTTTTCCAAGATAGTCTTTCTAATAATAATAGTTCTAGCCAATATATTTAATTAACAAGGATATTTTAAAAATGACAACACTTATTTATTACAAATAACTAACTTAACTTACTTCCTTAATCTCTTCAAATAAGTCAACTGGGTTTTATAATTAGGACCGGAGATAGTAGTTTGTATTGAAAAGTATTATCTTTTGTTTTAAGAAATTTCAAAGGTATCAACTCAAGTTGTGAGCTCCACCGTTTATTTGATAGTAACTCTAATTGTCATAATTTTCATTCATGCAACTTAATTTTAAAAAATATGGTTAGGGAAGACATAAATCAGTTCCATTACAACTAAATTATTATATATATTTGGACATTTCAACAACAAGGAATAGTGATAAGTGATAACTATAAAAAGAATGACAAAGCTTCCTTGTGTTTAATTGAAAAATAAAAATATCATTCATAATTTAGAAATTCAATATATATATAACAACTGCAAGCTTGTTTCTAACACAAATTATATGTGATTGGGAATATCTAAAGTTTGAAGATATTAGCAAAGTAATGAGCAACTCATTCAGGCTAATAATTTTGACTTCATTGAGGTTGAAATGTAACATTAAGCAGAAAGAAAGATGGCAATCAGCATGTGAATCATCAAGTCTTTTAAATTCCCGCTGGATTCTTTCAATGACTTGCCCCATCAGCATGCAGTTAGGGAATATAGCGTTTATAGTTCAACATAAACTAAGAAACACAACTACAGCCCCAAAGGAGCATTCAATTACCCTGCCATAACAAATTATCAATTCCACACATGACATGGTAACTCTTCATAGTTATGAATTTATTCTCAACCCCGCCAAAACATTCATAAATGCGAAAAATCACTTTCTCCTGTTTTAAAAGGTAGCCAATTTGGCTTCCATGTGTGTAGAAAAAAGAAGTTAAAACTCGCATGAATTCTCAAAATAAAATTTTGTCAGAATGTTTTGAGGGTACTCTAGCGAAAAGAAATAGATTTTTCCCTTAAGAGGAAGAGAGAGGGGGAAAAAAAAGAAGCTGAGTAAAACTGACCTCCAATGACAACAGGTTTGTCACTTCCATCATGTTTCGGATGTTCACTAGAGTAAAATGGATTATCACGAGGTAACTGGCAACGGAAAACCTTCACACTTCAGAGTGCATAGCATAATTAGAACTAATCAACAGGAAAACGAAAGTGAAAAAGGAGAGTTTGTACCTTATATAACAAAAATTGATCAAAGAAGTCAAAAAGAGAAGAGATTAAGAATAGTTAGCAGTATCTTCTAGATGGCTTATCTGGATGGCGTTTCCATTGCTCATGCTGATCCCGAAGAAGACCTTTCATTGAAGGGCACATAAAAATAAATAACACCCGGTGAAATGTACTTTCCTTTTCAGTTGACGCATAAACCTTGTAGTTCAAAGATTAAAGAAAACTATCATCCACTAGCAAAACTCAGACAACTAGACACATACGAAGGAAGATGTAAGAACAATTTACAGATAATTCCAAGAGTCAGGATACATTTCATCACACTTGGTAATAAATATGGGCAACCAAATAAACAATACTGAGGAAAATTGCTCAAGAAAGGCATAAACTTATGAGAAAGACATAACCTTCATAAAACTACAATTTCGAAAGGAACCCTACCTGAAGAAGAAATTGTAAAGGCTCTCCACATATGTCACACATACATGACCTTCCTGGTGGTATACACTGGGTCAAGCCAGGCCTATTTATAAACAGATAAAACCGTCAAATCACGAATTAGTGTTTCACCAGAGAAAACTTTTATTTGTTTTTCCAAATATACGAGGCTTGAATAGCTTCTTCTCATACTTATTCCCACAACATACATACAGACGCATAAGAGAATTTGATTAAATTATGTAATTACTGGGGCACCTCCAGCTTTGCTGGGAAAATATTGCCGTTGAACAGACCATTTATTTTTAGGTCTCTCAACGAAACCTAAAGTAATAGGGTCCTCCTCCTCCTCCTCATCATTAGAGTCATAATCTTCATGCTCGTTGTCAACAAGGACTTCGTCGTCGTCGTCATCATCAAGGGATGAGATTTGGACACCCTTGAGCTTGCCTGTAGGATCTCCAGTGGCATTGAAATCCATATTCGTCCCAAACAGCAATAATTGCCTAGTGTGCGGCGTATTCCGGTTACTTGATGCTGCGCAACAGTATGTAGAAACCTCAAACTAAATGGTTTGAACCACAACAAAAACATATATATGCAGAACTGATCCAGCAACTAAAGGGGGGGGGGGACACACACACACACACACACAACTGAGCAGCAAATATATCATAATACCAGCAAAATCGACACAACAGCAATGAGGAAGGTTGGTTTAAATTCAATTCACTCACTCCCTGCTGGAAAGAATACTTCTTTCTCTGACTTAATCACAGAATATAAGGACACTAGATAATAGATAATCATCACATGATATGAAGAAACAGAGGCGAGGACAGCGACGGGGATAGAAGATAATGGACAGACAAAAAAAAAATAAAAAATAAAAAAGCTGCACAGAACCTGGAGTACAAGAGAGTGTAAGGGTGTGAGCCCTGTGAGAGATGAGAGAAAGGCTGGGCAGTGAGACGGTGAATGTTGGAACTGGAGAGTGGCAGGGGAGCACTCAATTAGGGTGGTAAAGCTTTCTTTCAGAGTGATAAAAAGATGGATTTAATAATAACTAAGTTTTAAAAAAATTTGGTTTAGAAAATTAATTAACAAATAGTTCCTCCAATGATAGATTGTACCAAAAAATAAGGGAGATAAATTGCCCATAAGGGATTTTTTTTTTCTTTTTTTTAACCAAGCACCGGCTTGACATCAGGTCCGGCTCTTGAATAGTTATTTGTAAGAACAAAACACTATGCATCAAATTCTTGAATACTCATTTGTACAAACAAAACATTATACATAAAACATAATCAGGTCAGCAAATTAAAACTAGGAAAAACACCTTCACCAAGACAACTCAAACAAATAACATGATTACCATGAAACAATAAAAAACAACCATGTAACCAACAAGCTTAAATTAAACCATCCACTTAAAATGGACTAACCAACGAAGTAGTTTCCAACGTGTTATACAGAATATCATCAACAACAAGCAAAACAAACTGGAAAGAACAATGTTATACAGAATATCATCAACAACAAGCAAAACAATCTAATAAGAATTATATTTTCCCATGAAACATATCCAAGCACACAGGAATAACTATCTTAAGCCATAGCCAAAACGAAGTACTTCATCAAAAATAAGCGGAACAATATAATCAAAATAAGCTCATCAAACCAAATCTTACTGTAAATGCAGGAATCACAGAGAGAAATAAGCACACATATATACCTGATAGATGATAGCGATTTAGCGAGAACAGAGGCAGACTGAGGGTTTGAGGAAGGTCCCGAGTAGTGAGAAGCAACACGAGAGACTTCGCCAGAGAAGACACACGGACTGAGAGAGACTTGGCAAGACAAAGGCTAAGATTTGGCCAATTGCTCACTTGCTGTGCAGAGAGCGGCAAACTTGCCAGACGGAGAGATATTAGGGAGAGACAGAGCAAGAGCTAGGTCTTGGGCCTCAAATGAAAGAAAATATTAAAAAAACGTCAAACGAAATTTTATTTCCCTCCCAACTTTCCCTCTTTTTCTTTTTCTTTTTTCAATCAGCAATTTTTCCAGCTAAGCATGTCATTAGGGGAAAAGAATACACACCGTGATACCTAAATACCTAAATAGTATTAATAATATAGAAATATTAATAATAGAATAAGATATCCGATAATGTGGAAATAATATGATACGTATACAGTGATATAAATATGATATATCAAAGAATAACAAAAAACAAACATTAAAAACAATAAGGTAATAAGAAAATCCCAAGTAAATCTAATTAAAATACTAAAATTTAAATCAAGACCTACACTCTTAACAAATTCTTTATAAGATTATGAAGCCTCGTTAAGGATTATTTTTAATGTTATTAAAAGATTAAAATATCATTTTATAATTAAAAAATAATACTATTTTTATTATGATAGGGGCAGGATTTAAGTATTTGAACGGCAGTTAATATAAATGCTTGAACAAAGATTCACGTTCACAAATTAAATTTAATCTACAGGATTATTATGATAGGGGCCGCATTAAGTTATATGCTACTGGGCTACAAAATTTATTATTAAAAATTTATTATTAAAGTTATCAAGCTTTTTTATACCACTTTGAATCAAATATTTTAAGATTTAATAATATTTTTCTAATTATATATGTGCGTGCGCGTCATAAATTATATTTAGTAAGATGGGTCATTAGCAATGTTTCCAAACCCGGACCGGACCGAACGGTCGGACCGACAACTGGACAATACAACGGCTTGGTTTCTATACTTAGACCGCTTGAGGAGTTGGATCGTTTTAAACCGTTCTAAGCCGCCTATTGAGCTGGGAACTGGAGTTAAGTAGCGACCCAGAGCGGTTTTCAGAGAACCGTCCGGCTAGGAAAAAGAAAGAGAAAGGAGAAGGGGGAAAAAAAAAAGAAACATAGGAAAATCTAAAGGGGAAAAAATAGCTTCTTGATTTTTCTCATTTACCTGATACAGATCAGTCGTATGAGATGGATAAAGGATGAAATTGAGGGGGAAAGAAGCAAGCTTGGAGCGTTTTTCTTTTCTTGCCGTCGACCCCAGAGGAAGGCAGTGAACTCGACACAGGGACTCCTTGACGCATTTGAAGAATTTGCTTGAAAAGAAAGAAAGAGTAAAAAGAAATAATAAAAAACTGTTCCCCCATCAGTTCGATACACAAATGCCAGATTGGGGAAGATGAAAAGTTGTGCATCATGTTTTTCAATACTCAATACTATACATGGTTCAGTCTCTAAGATTTTTTTTTTTTGGAAAAAACTTGCTAAGCCCATTTTGAAATTTGAAGGTTATCCTTAGGCATGCATCTCCCGTCTTTATTTTACTGGAATTAATTGTTTTAAAATCTATATTTTATATTATTTTTATTCAAAATAATTAGCATAAAATCAGACATATATTAGTGTAATTACTGTAATTAACATTGTCATCTTTTATTTTTATTTATGATAATTAATATAAAATTAAACATGTAGTGTGTTTAACATATTATTACTTTCAATCAATATTTCTAAGTTAAAAAAAAAAAATCTTTCCTGTTGCAGCCCAAAAAATTTGTCAATAATTTTAAATAAAAAACTGTATAAATGAAATTTAAATATTAAATGAGTTAATGGAGCCAAAAACCTTCATTGAAAAAATGTATAAAAAATTTTAAAATAGCCACAACTCATTAGATTAAAATAAAGCCAAGGTTGAACTTGTTAACTTTTTAATAAACTTAACTAATTATGTTAATATCATTATACATGTATAAACTATTATTTTTAATTTAATTACTCTATTACCGGTTTGACCAGACGGTTCAACCGTTTGAACCCTAACCCGCTAGCTTTACCGGCTTGACATCCGGTCCGGCTTTTAAAACACTAGTCATTAGTTTGAGTATCCTGTCAAACAACTAAGCTAACCCAACATACCAAGTTTTGAGTCTAACCGGATCTTGCCAAATTTTTTGAACTTTCTCTTCTTTTTTTTGGGGCGCCCCCGGCCCGAGGGGGATGATGAAGTATATACAAATTGAACTAGATCGACCACGTTATTAGGTTTGCTACTCAACTCTAGCGTTTATGGCACCATTATTCATCCAAGAAAAAAAGTTAATAAATAAAACTTCAACATGTCTTTATGTCTTCCACACTTCTCAATATATCTAAGGAAACTTAATTATTGGACATTAATGCTGAGGGAAAGAGGAGAAATCTGACCCCAAAAAAAATTAATCATATTGGAACAAGAAAATAAAATCGTATCAGTAATTATATTCATATTTTTAATTTTAGTTCACAAGTTCAAAAAAATCTAATTTCAAAAAAATGTCTAATAAGGACATCAATTTTCCTTTAGTTTATTTCTTAATAAAAGATACGTATAAATAATTATACTATTACATATTATATATAAATTATTAAAACATACTTATAAATAATTACATATTAATTTTATACAAAATTTTAAAATATTCAAATCAAAACACAAAATTTTATGAATTTGATATTAGCGGCGAAATTATTGACAAATTACCAACAAAACTTTGTGATAGAAAAAATTCCATTAGAAATTCCATTGCAAAATGGGAATAGGCTGTCCTGATTCATTAATGACGGAATTTAGTGATGGAATTTAGCGACGGATGATTTCTATCACAAAATCCATCGGTAAGTGTACTTAGCGACAGATCACAAAGTTTCGTTGCAAATCTGTCATTGCTAATTTCGTCGCTAATCACCTTTTTTCTGTACATTTCACATGATCCTTTGAGTCAAATGGTTTGTGCTTTCCCTGTAATGTTCTGAGAAAATACAAAAATAGTAGAAAGATTATGACACCTCTAGTGTGATATATCCAGATGGAGCGCCTTCAGCTTAGGAATCGGATTGAAAAGAAAGCTGCCTATGTGCAGGAGCTGGAGAAGCAAGTAAGCCAGTACTCACTAATGGATTTGTTTTTGGGAATCAAATTCCAATTTCCCACTTCAAGAAACTTTTGTACACTACTAGAGAAAAAACATTTAACGTCGCAAAATAACGGCGGTTAAGAAGAAAAACGCCATGAAAAAAAAGACGGTGGCAAATTTGTAATTAAATGGAATGACGTTTGATTTTCCACGACGGTTATCAGGAAAACCGCCATGGAAAGTTTTAAAATAACCCTACAGGCGTGTTTGGGTTCTCTCATTTTCACAGTCTCGACTTAGTACACCATGGTCCCCCTTTGTTCCACCACCAAAAAACTTCCATTACCAGCCATTCCCTCCATTCTCCCCCCGTTTAAACTCTTCCATTTTGCTTATGGGGTCTTGCCGCCATCTACCGCCGCCCGCCATTGTGGAGTCGCCCCTCTTTTCGCATTTGAATCATCTCTACTCTGTGAGTATCCTCTTCTTTCATTCTCTTCAATTTTTTTTGGTTTCTTGGATGTTTTGGCCATTAAAATCCATTCTATTTCGAATGGATTTGTTAGTTTTACATTGTGGTTGGCATACATTGTTGATTTTACATTTTTTATTTGGTTGAGTTGTTGATTTGGGATATTGAATGTGAGAAAACCTCAATTCCTTCCTATATACTGTATTAGAAACATGTTTAAATGTTTGAAGTTGATTAGTTTTGAATTTTTTATTTTTTTATAATTTTTTGATATTTAATTTATTTCAAATTTTTGGTAAATTTTTTGAAATAGATTTGATAATTTAGTAATAAATAATCTGTTAATTGTTTTGTGATTTTTTTTTCGTTATGAACTTTGATTGATGATAAAGTGTTGTTTAAAATTTCATTATAAACGAATATCGCTTGTGTTCCCGTTTTGGATTCAGAAGTTTTAGCTTTAAGATTCTTTATTCATTGAATTGGTTTGAAATTGAATTCTTATTTTTGTTTTAGTTATTATATTTCTTCAAATTTATCCTATTTTTAATTTGTTTATTATATTGTTATATTAGTTTCATTGATTGATTGATTTGTTTAATTTTTTATACAAATTTAGGATTTGTTCTAGGAAAAATTAGATTGAAAAATTATACGAATTTTTTATTTTTAAAAAGGAGACATTCCCTTTAATTTGTAATTAAGTGTTAGTCAATTTTAATTTATTGACTAACATTTAATTATTTTATTATTTCAATATTTGAATTGAGGAGTTAGAATTGAGCTTGACAACTATGTTCATTAACTCTGTAGAACAATGGATCATAGTTGGATGAAAGCTAAGAGAATTAGCAAAGAATATGAGGATGGGATTGAAAGGTTTCTTCAGTTTGCTCGGAGAAATGCCTCTAGTCAAAGAGATGGATGATATTATTGTCCTTATGTCAAATGCCTAAACAATAGTCGGAGGAGTATTTCTGAGATAAAAGAGCATCTTATCTGTGATGGGATAAATTTAAGGTATACAAATTGGATATGGCATGGAGAAATTAGAAAGACTACACTATCTAGAAAGGAGAAGATTGTGAATGAAGACTTTGGTGACAGAATTTCGGATATGTTTCATGACATAAGGTCTGAATCTTCTACACAGTTCTCTTCCACTTTCGAAACTTTGTGTAGTGATATAGAAACGCCTTTATACCCAGGGTTTGTAAAGATGATTACATAAGGTTGACAATCATGTTGAAATTGATGAACCTGAAGGCAAAAAATGGTTGGACCGATGCTAGTTTCACAGAATTACTTGAACTGCTGAGTGATATTCTTCCAAAGGGGAATTCACTTTCGAAACGAATGTATGAGGCAAAAAATTTTTTGTGTCCGATGGGTTTGGACTATGAGAAGATACATGCATGTCTTAATGACTGTATATTATTCAGAAATGAGTATGAAGGGTTGAATAAGTGTCCTAAATGTGAGACTTCAAGATACAAGCTTAAGAAAGATGGTGGTGATTATAATAAGATGACCAAAGGTTCTCTTTTGAAAGTTCTGTGGTATCTTCCAATAATACCACGATTTAAGCGTCTATTTGCTAATGCCACAGAAGCAAAGAACTTAAGATGACATTTTGATGAGAAAATATGTGATGGAAAGCTTCGTCACCCAGTAGATTCTCGTCAATGGAAAATAATAGATCAAAAAATTCCTCAATTTAATAGCGAGCCAAGAAACCTTTGGCTAGGTCTTTGTACGGACAGAATTAATCCATATGGTAATCTTAGTAGCACACAGTGCTTGGCTGGTGCTCTTCGTAATTTACAATTTGCCTCCTTGGTTATGTATGAAAAGAAAATATATCATGCTATCTTTGATGATCTCAGGGCTAAAATAGCCGGAAAACGATATCGATGTATATTTGGCACCTTTGATTGAGGATCTGAAAAAAATTATGGGTGGAAGGTATTGATGCGTTTGATGCATATAAACAAGAGACTTTCAATTTACGTGTCATGATCTTCACCACGATAAATGACTTTCCGGCATATGAAAATTTGTCAGGATACAGTGTTAAGGGGCATAAAGCATGTCCGATATACGAAGAAGGTACCCACTATATGCAACTTAAACATGGCAGGAAAACAATCTACCTTGGTCACAGAAGGTTTCTTAGTCGGTACCACCCTTAACGTAGGTTGAAGAAGGCATTTAACGGCTCACAAGAATATCAAATGGCTCCAATACCATTATCTGGAGAAGAAGTTTATCAATGGTGAAGGAAATTAGTATGGTCTTCAGTAAAAAGAAGAAGAAGACTGCCAGTGAGAGAAATATATAGAATAAAAGATTTTTCTTTTTTTATCTTCCATATTGGCAAAGTCTCGATGTGAGGCATAGTCTAAATGTGATGCATGTGGAGAAGAATGTGTGTGAGAGTCTTGTTAGTATACTTTTACATAAAAGTAGAAAGACTAAAGATGGAATCAATGCAAGACGGGACTTAGTAGAAATTGGAATAAAAAAACTCCTCCACCCACAAGAGAGATAGGGTAAAAGGGCTTATTTACATCCAGTTGCGTACATATTATCAAAAGAAGAGAAAACAAGTTTCTGTAGTTTTATTAATAACCTTAAGGTGCCATAAGGTTATTCTTCTAATTTGAACAAACTTGTTTTAATGCATGATTTGAAGATAACGGGGATGAAGTCTCATGATTGTCACATGTTGATGCAACAATTACTTCCACTTGCTATTCGAGGCATTATGAAAACCGATGTGAGAAGTACTATTACAAGACTGTTGTTTTTTAGCGCTATTTGTAACAAAGTTATTGGTCCGGCTGAGTTAGATGAATTAGAAAATGAAGGTTATGTGATCCTCTCCTAATTGGAAATGCACTTTCCTCCCTCATTTTTTGATATTATGGTCTATTTGATAGCTCACCTTGTGCGAGAGATAAGACTTTGCAACCCTGTGTGTTTAAAGTGGATATGCCCATTTGAGAGATACATGAAAATCCTAAAAGGATACTCTAAGAATCCTTATCAGCCTGAAGCATCAATTGTTGAGAGATATATAGCTGAAGAGGCAGTTGAGTTCTGCAACGCATATCTTGATAAGGTAAAGACAGTTGGACTTCCTCAATCTCGACATGATCAGGGGAGAAGCACGGGAACGTGAGGTGTCATAGTTTATGTCTATATATTTATTACATATAAAGTTTATAAAAATGTGTTCTAATGTTCTAATATTTGAATGTTCATAGGGCTTTTCACACTTTCAATTTTATGATCAGGCATCAAAATATGCAACCACCAATATGGTTTCTCCCACAAGTATGTTGTTTTAAGCTAAATATATAGTTATAAATCTTTTCAATCATCAAATTAGCTAGTGCTTATAAATTTTTGATTTTTTTAGTATCGTTGTCAAGCTAGGAAAGTTGAATGTGGATATTATGTCATCGGTTATATGAATGACATTATTGAAATAGGGATAACTGAAAAATTACACGAGGTAATTAAATATAACTTATGTTGCATGTAATTCTACCCATTTTTTCACATTTTAAATCAAGTTGACTAATGAATTCATTTTTGATTTACAGGCATTCAAAAATGTTATGCCATATAGCATGGATGAGATCAATTTGATAAGAGACTCTTTGTCAGCAACGTTGTTACAGAATTTTTAAAATGCCAAGTACCTAGGTCTCTTAGCTTGCTCACTTATTAGTTCGTTTTTTGATTGTTAACTATAGTTGATGTTCATATATGGTAATATTCAAATAGTTTTGTTGAGATAATGCTTTGGTGTTCATCTGGTAATCTTCAAATGGTGCTGCATATATTACTCTACTGATTCGGGTACCTAAACTACAGGGAAGTGGTAAAATAAAATAAAATGACGAATTTATAAAAAAAAACATTTAACGGTGGTTATTCAACTAACCGCTGTTAAATCATTTTATAACGGCGGTTTTAAAAAAAAAACCGCCATTATAAATAATTTACCACAATGGTTTTTTAAGTAACCACCGTGGGAAATTTGAATTTTCACGGCGGTTTTTAGAAAAACAGTCGTGGAAAATAAACTTTCAACGGTAGTTTTTAATAAAAAAATACTTTTCATGGCGGTTTTTAATAAAAACTATCATGGAAAGTTTATTTTTTCAAGGCGGTTATTAACCGCCGTGTGTTCTTATCCTTTCAACGTCGACACTTTTTACTCCGCCTCCAAAACCGCTGCTAAAAGCCATTTTTTGGCAGTGGTAGCTTTTCCTGTCGAAATGCATTGTTGGTTATAAGTAGCTGACAATTGACAAATGGCTTCTATTGTATTTGATTAGTGTCTATTTTCTGACTACTTGTCTTATCACATCAAGTACATAGGTCTTCAGAATCTCATACAACGAAATGAGCAATTATATGGCTCAGGAAATGCTGCCAGTGGAGGTGTGTCCTTACCTTTTATTCTTGTACAGGTAATACTATCTTCTCATTATCTTCTGATTTTTTGGTGAACCTGTTCATATGAAATTGTTGCTCAATTTTTTCTAGGTTTGAACAGTCTTATTGTCTGACATGGTTTTAGTGGCTCTACTCTCATCATATTCACTGTAAAATATTTTATTTGCCAGAACTATATCAGCTAGCACTTTTAGTTCACTGAACTCTAAGACCATCTGTTTGGGATTATATTTTCACAATTCTATGTTGTGGATCATGGTAGGAATCATAGTTTTCAAGCTTAGGAGAGTGCAGCTTGTTATAATTTAATTAAAGGTCAATGTTGTGTAATAAATTGGAAAATATGAATTAGTTAGGAAGTGAGGGTTAATGCTATTATGCTATAAAAATGGGCTGGTTTAGTTTGTAATCTAGGATTTTTAGATTAATGGATTGAGTTGTGTTTCTTCCTCCCTCCTTCTATGTTTCTCTGTTCTCCATATGTCTTCATCTCCTCTCCCCCTCCCCTCTACTGTCTCTCTTCCCTTGTCATTTATATATTACAAGCAGATTTTAAAAGGAAGAAACTTTACATTAGAAAATTAGATAATTTACATAATAATAGTGCATGGCTCTGGAATTATCTCTTTGTAGTCTTTCTGACAATTGTTTTTCCTAATTTCTTGAAACTGTAGACTCATCCACATGCAACTGTTGAAGTGGAAATATCAGAAGATATGCAGCTTGTACATTTTGATTTCAATAGGCGAGAAAGCTTCTTGGGTACCCAATGCTGTTCTTGAAAGCATTGGTGGGTTTATCTTTCTCCTAGTAATCCTTTGAGAGCTGTAAGAGCTAATTGTCTTTATCTAAAATATTTTTATTATTTATGTATTAACTAAAACTATCATTTGACTGAACATTTGACATGTGCAACTATTATAATGATTACTTTAAAAAATAGATAAATATAAAAAACGGAATAGATTGTAGTATCATGTTTATGATTAAATTAAAAGTCAAATTAACTCTTATGTTAAAAACCAGAAGTTGTGTATCGTGGGACGCAACTGTTTTGGAGGCTTATCCAACCATCATTACATTATCGGCATGTGAACCAATTGAGCCCCATCCTCGTTTTGAATAGATTCCAAACTTGTTTTGTAATCTTGTTCCATTAAATTATCAAAAAATTAAATTACGGGTAAAAAACAACAAAAAGACAAAACCAGAGGATGGCAGCACAAAATGATGTCAAAAATATTTAGGCGGTGTTTGGATAGAAACAAAGACATAATTTCAGAAATAATTTTATGATCTATTAAGTAAATATGTGGATAAGTTTATCTTGATTTGTGAAAAAATGCTTTTAAAAAGTATTTATGTACTCATCCAAGCACCCCTTAATCGATTAAACAGGAAAAAGTGTTATTCCTTAACGCATTAGTGGCAGCTGCATAATATTATTACTTGCAAGGAAGTCTCTCTTAATTTTGTAATGCACGTTATTGACTTTTGTCATTGTATTTAGTCAAAGTATTTAATAATTATGTCAATTACAAAACTCCAATAAATATAAGTTGATGTAACAGTAGCAACCACAACATTTTTTTTTTTTAAAAAATTCCTCCCAAGTTCGTGAATACAAGCCTAAAGACAATTAGCTGTAAGAGCTCTTGCTTTCCTTTGAGAAAATTGGCAAGGGACACTCTGAAATAACCATTTGCTGAAACCTACGAGTAAGTGGGGATAAATTTAAAAACTCTGCATTTCCTTCTAACCAGAGGCACCAGAAGCCTGCAAACTAAGCACAATGCCAAAGGACTTTACGCTCCTTATGCTGCCCAAAACCAATGAGCTTTATGCCTCAAATTACCCTTTGAACAGCTGGACAAGTCATACATCTCAGCTTCACATAAATACCTGAAAATGGAAGCTTTACAAAAACTAACTCTAGTAAGCGTATCTTCATAAATTTACTAATTTCCATCAAGAGAAACATCATATGTCAATTACACCATCGATGGACAAAGCTTTTCTGTTGAGCCGGCTGCTTTGTCTTCTATATCTAAACTTTCCAAAATCTTTTCTTTTAATCTGTCCATACCTTCTCCTCTCCATCTACAGCACTCCGTTTGAGCTGCATGATGACAACTATGTCCTCAAGGCAATGAAATTTTGTGAGAGACCGCAGAGTGATAATATGACGCAGAATCTTGTGGACGGGGGTGAAGGTTCTAGCATGTCAGGCTTGTATCAGGCGCAGGTCACTCCTTCAGTGTCAAACGAACCGGTCAGAACTCCAACCTCGCCGCCTCTCCCTGGGATATTGAAGGCAAGAGTTAAGCATGAGCATTGATATGCAATTATATTCTGTCCCGCTTGCGTTATTTTATCTTGTCTATATATACTTTTGTAAAGTAGTTTTCTGTCAATTAATACACCTTCATGATGGTTAAGAATACAGCCAGCCAGCCAGTCACTCTGTGGCTTAGTCACAGATAGGCACCTGTGCTTTTAATTTCTCAAGAGTCATTGCTGGCTAATTTTTTACTAGTGTCCACCGTATGTACCAGCATAGGATTAATTCTTCAATTCACTCTGGTGTAAATTTTAACTTCTTATGTTAATCTTTGTTAGTATATTTTTTACTTCAGGCTGTGCCTCGGTCAAGTTCATGGGTAGCAGTACAATCTTTTGGAAGGTTTTCTAGCAGGATAACTGACTATATAGATACCAAAATTTGAATGCCATTAAATATGAATGAGAATTTAAAATTGATTCATCCATCCTACCATCCACACATACCCTTAGTTTTAGTCGTAAAATTTAATAATTTTCTCACGTATGTTTTTGACTTGGTACCAAAAACGAAGTTGTTTGGGATTATCACAAAACAACGATATTACTAAAACGTCCTGAGATAAGATTCTGGTGAAGCCATTTTAATCGCTTTATGATATATGCTTTGGCGGTGCAACCATTCTGTGATGCAATTCAAGGGGATCTTCATGTTATTCTAAAATTTATAATGTGATCTCTTGTATATTTGACCAATTTGATTAGTCAATCCGGATTGTTTTAAGGTAATCTCTCCATCTCCTTTTGAGTGTCGCCAGATTGTGAGATTGGTATGAGGAAAAGGAAGCGGAAAAAATAATTTAGTGAGTTTGATTTTAAAAAAAAGCTTTTAATTAACTTTTATTACTTTTTTATCTTATACTTTTTCTTCATTAAAATTTTAAGACTCTGCTTCAAGTTTTGAAAGAGTTTATTAAAATCCTTTCCCTTCTATTCCCTACCAAACATTTTTAACACAGGGAGAATTACTACGGAGATATGTAAATTTCAAGAAGTATCCATTTTTCCCGTAAAATGATATGAGTGCCGTCGAGTAAAATGAAAAAATTCCTTCACCGTCGAGCGCAACCGTGGAAGCTCCACCTACCGGCCATGGCCAAACGACAACCGGAGATCAAGCATCAGTGATTGGATTTAGCAGGCAAAAATTCTTATTAAGTGGGCTTGAGAAAACATGAACCTCATTCTATTCAAGCAGAAGAGAGAGACTGTGGATTGGACCAAGTTTGGAAGTTGGGATTATGATCGCTTGCAGACTGTGGTTAATCAGGAAGTGATGCAGAGATTGATTACTCAAATCCCTCCCTTTTGACGGTGCAGGAAATGATGTTATGACATGGAAAAACTCTGCTCATGGGAACTTCTCTGTTAAGAGTGCTTACCAAATGATTGAGAAAACCAACTCTCATGCTTAAAATTCTGTTTTTAAGCATATTTGGAAGTGGCGTGGACTTGAGAAAATAAATGTTTTCTTATGGATTACTTTTCATAGCAGATTGCCTACTAGAGAATGGAAGAGTAAATGGTCTACAGGCTCTCCTAATTGTTCTCACTGTGATGCTGGAATTGAGACTGCTCTTCATATCTTAAGGGATTGTTCATATGCAAAAGAAGTGTGGCTACACGTTGTTCATCCAAGGTATCTATCTCATTTCTTCTCACTCTCTTTACCATAATGGATGACCTGGAATCTCCCTAATGATGTGGGAGTTGCTGTGATTACGGATTGGAATCATATGTGAGGAGTCTCACTTTGGTTGTTATGGAACTGGAGAAATAAACTTGTGCTTCAAGAAGATCTTCAAAAGCCAAACGAACTTGTTATAGTAGTTTTGAACACTTGGAACAATTATGTACAACCCTTGGAACCAGTTACTTTAATTTCAAAAGGTTCATCTAATGCTATACGGGGATGGCAACGTCCAGTTAGTGGTTGGGTTAAAGTCAATGTTGATGCTGCCATTTCTTTGTCTACTAAGAAAGCAGAATGTGATGGTGTGATTAGAGACACTAATGACTCTTGGATTGTTGGTTTTTCTCATTTCATAGGGGACTGTAGTGTTATAAAGGCTGAAGAATGAGCAATTTTAAAGGGATTAAATTTAGCCTGGGAGTTTGGTTTTAGAAAAGTTGTTCTAGAATCAGATTCGAAAGTTTCTATTGATGCTTTCGAATATGCTTTGGTGTTTATGCAAGCTGGGTCATTAATGAGATATGCAGGGGATTTGATCTCGCTACATATACCCAGAAGGTCAAATATGCTTGCTGATTCACTGAAGAATATTTGCGAAAGTGATTTGCTGGGATTTAATCCCTTGAGTAATTAGTTTTCTTTATTTTGGACTCTAGCCTCTTGTATATCAAGAGCCAAAACAAAAAACAAAAAAACAGAGAGAAAGATTTAATAGCTAAATGTTTAGAGACTGTTAAATGTGCAAACATTGATTTACTTTGACATATTCATTTTTCAATTTACAAGATTGTAACTGTTGGAACTGTCATAAATTACAGGTCCCCTGTACATTTTATATGCAATTGATGATGATTATCGAGTACGAAACTAGAAAATCATAAGGAAATGGGGAACAAAAAAAAAGCTGGCAAGAAAATAAAACCATGGAAATAAATATTGCAAGTAAGAAATGAATCAAAGTTGTGTTCGAAGGAAAGAATCTTAAAACTCAATGTAAATTGCATTGATCTGATGTCAAGTTTGTCGAAGATTAGTTTGCACTTTGCAATCCCACAGAATGATGGAACTTTCAGTTCATTTAACTTTACTCTTCTCCTCTTCGTGCAAATGGAATTCAAGAATTGGGTTTAAGGATTCCGAAATTCCTTGCATGATAGTTTATTGTGGCAACACACAAAAATAACTTCAAAACATTAAACGAATCCTTAATTTGTCCCATATTTTTCTTAAAAATAATTTGGGTGAAAAGGGAGAGTCACTTTTTAGCAAACTGACTATTCAATTAATCTGGAAAACCTAAATCTGATAAGAGTTATTTTCTTTTATCTTAAAACAAAAAAAAGAAGACATCTCTTTACTGCTTGATGAGAAATATTTGTTCAAATGTACCATTTTTATGCCCTGAATTGCCGGGGAAAAAATTGGACCATTCTCAATTCTGCCATTTTGATAGGTTTATGCAGATAAGCACTGTATGAATGACTACACATGACTAGAAAATTCTCAAAGACTAGATTACGACCTCTCATAGCCCATATTATTAGGCTTTTTGTCTGATAAATTCAAGCATATACTCCTCCGGTCCTTAATATATGATATAATTATTGAGTTGATTTTAATTCTAAATATAAGATCTATTTTTTATATTTATTTTTTTCTTAAATTACTTCTATTAATACTCTTTCAAACATAATCAAATAGAAGAGGGAGAGGGAATATTAAGAAAGATAATTATAGTATTTTTTTAAAAAATATTTCTTACTTGTCATAATCAACTAAGTTACTTAACTTTATTAATCTAATCAAATTACTTAAATATGTTTTATATTAAGAATCGGAGGAGTAGAATACAAACAACCACTGCCTTCCCACTCTTTAAGACTATGTACTGTGATATCAATATTGCAGATTAAATATAGTGACTGGGTACTCAAGTCGGATAGCGAACCATCCTTCAAGGCCATCCTTGGAGAGGGATGGCTGTAATATACCACACTTGGCTTTCTTGTAGATCATAACGTTTTGGCAAAGTTGCCTTTTTTGGTTAACTATCCCACAAAGCATTCCATACCGCTCAATGTGTGACTTAGTTTATAATATAGCTTCTATCATATAGTTCTTTTATGCATCATGCATTTGAGCTTACAGTTAAAACGATTTTTTTTTTTTTTGCTATGCATGGGTATTTTCTTATTGGAGATAATTCTATTTAAGATACTATCAGGTATCAAATATAGACACTTCTCTCAGTGAGAATTTGAATATTGATTGGTCAAGTTGTGAGCGATTAAATGTAGAAATTCTTACCATAAGAGTAATTGGGCCCACAGATGAAAGAAACCTCAAATTTCTTTCTTCTCGTTTTTTCCTTTTTTAAACCTTCATCCCTAGCCAGTCAAACTAATCATACTGTCTTCTTTACTTTCCAAGAAGCAAGCAGGCTCTCCGCTCTCCAAGCATTTCCAAAGGAGCATAGTTTTTAGTGCACCCTTTATTCATTATTCCCTCCGGCCTCCGGTCCTTTTCATAAGAATTTTTTTTTTTCTCAAGAGTTCTCTTAGTCCGATTTGTAAGAAACAACGACCTCTTGTTGGGAGCATTTATAAATGAGATCAATTATTAAATGAGGGTATTTCTGAAAAGAAATTTGTACTTTTAACATATTTAATAATTCAACCAACTTTAACTATATTTTCTTATCATAGAGTATTAGTTATTCGTCTCCTATAAAAGGATGAGGGAGTATTTACTAAGAACAACAATGAGAACACCCACTCATAACAAAGCTTTTTGCCCTTTCCTTTTCTTCAATTCATATAGTTTCTCTTCTTGTTTTCAATAACCTTCCTTTCATTAGTAAACCTCACATGAGATGAAACAAATTTCCAATGCCCTTAAACACTTTGTTACATGAAAGAGTTTCAGGTTCTCCATCATAAACAACATTTTAATTAAGTGGATAAGGTCGAGCATAATGAGAAGCCAAGATCACAAAATTAAGACATTTGAAGGTCCTCACCAGATTTTGTTTCGCCCAAATTGTTCTACCATCTCTTAAATGTATTTGCTGTGATGCTTGGCACTCGTGACATAATGCTCTGATAAAATCCTGTATATGATGATAAATGCTGCATGCCATCATGCCAATTTATGGTTAGTTCCTATACTATTGCTCTATTGACAGAGATGGAAGTATGCAGAAATAATCTCCTTAACCTTTAAAAAATAATCATACCCCCCCAAACGTCAAGTTTATGCAAATAACCTCTTAAACTTTGAGTTATATTCAGATAAACCCTGTAGAAGTTATTTGCATAAATGTAAAAGTTCAGGAAGGTTTATTGTGAAGTTTTAAAGGTTAGAAAGGTTATCTACCCCCAAAGTTCATGAGGTTTTGTATAATTTAGCATATAAAAATTATGAGGAAAAAAATTAATTGCGGTAGAAGCACACCAAGTGGCAAGAACTAATTCATTCTAAAAGCCTGAGATTTTAGGAGTGGATTCATAAATGAGATGAATTATTTTGGAGTTTATGGTGAACAAAAAAGTAAGCTTGAACAGCGTAATTTACATGAGTGCCATAATATAGGACCAACTTCTTGATGCCACTTGTATATTATTGTTTTAATTTTTTAATTATTTATGGGATTCATCTAAGAACGTACCGTGTTGCTTTTTTTATTTGAAAATAAGAACTATTTC